TGTTTGTTCCTGAATGAGGGTCAATTCTTTGCTCAGCTGTCCTGGACCAAAGCCTATATCCTGACGGCATGTTCGTTAACAAGGCAACCCCCATCCTCACTCTGTTATCAATGAAATACCCAGTCCTGTTTTTAGCTGAAAGGGAAATCTTTGAGCTCTTGAAAAATAAAGGAAATGAGGATGAGATATAATTATGTGTGATTGCAGCCATAACCATAGGGTTGCACAGTCTAAATGTCGCAATATTTTATTGGTCGCTTCTGATCCCCCCACATGAAACATTTTTTATTTGAAACACTTCTCCCCACCTCCATCGACTACATAATCATTCCAACCATTGCTCTCAATGGACAAGAGCGGGTTGTTTTGTTTCCTTATTTTCAGCATCCAGATAGAAAGGAGTTCAATGAACATATTGTTGCTTTTTGTTGGGGAAGAGGAGGCATTTACAGTAAACAACTTTAATATTTCCTGGTCCAACTCATTTATCTTGCCTAGAGCACCTCACTTAATAATCAGCTCAAGTCTCTTTATGGTTTTATACATGAATGCCACATTTCAGAGTACATGATACAAGGGTAGTAAAGTATCTGTATAGTTGGAGGAAATTGAATTCCCAAATTTTATTCCCTGGGTTCAACTGGATTCTAGTAGCTTGAACTGTCCTTTCAACAACAAAAATTGTCCTTTGTCTTTATAAAATCAATCTGATGAAGATGTTTACCAGGAAAACTAACTCTAGTGAGAGGGAAGAAGAGGAAGGGGAGAAGGGAGGGAGGGAGAGAAAAAGGGAGGGAGGGAAGGAGTGAGGTGTTCCATAAAAACCTAGATTGAAGGCTTTCTACCTGAGCACAAAAGGTCACAGCTCTCCCACAGTAGCTTCTGAAAATATACTCCTCTTTTGCAAATGGAAACTCAGCAGGCTTTCTTTCAAAAAACACTCCTTGATGAAATGACACATGTTCCTGGAGTTGGTCAACAAAAAGAATCATGTCTGGGTTGGTCAGTCCGTGTTTGAAGAATTTGCAAACTGGAAAGACCCTGGAGGCCTAAGGGGGAACTTCTGCCCCCAAAGAAAGAACCCAAGTCAGAGATTCTTGGCCCCATTTTAATAGTGTGTGGTAACTTCAGAGAGCTGGGAAGGCAAAGAAAACAAACAACTGAAAAATCAGCTTTTTCTTTCCCCTTCCTTAGACATGTTTGAGTTAAAAAAGAAAAAAAAAGGCCTCCAGTATTTACAAAGTCTTTAGGACTTTAGGACCCTAAATATATCAAATAATTTTATAAGTGAATCAATTTACTCTTCACCCAGTAATATATTGAACTAACAATGACATTTTCCAGCTGAAAAGACAAGTCTTTTAATGTATTTAATTTATTTTATTATTTTAATGTACTTAATGTATTCAGCCTTTCTGAGATTTTATACATTGTTTCCAGCTACGAAATAGTCATTCAGTAATAATATATCAAAGCTTTGCTAGGTGCCAGGCCCTACCTGAGGAGAAAACAGCAATAAAGTAAATGCACTGCCACTGCCCTCATAAAGCTTCCAGACGAACAGAAGAGATGGACATGGACACTAAGCAATACTTATACAAAGAATTCATTGTTTAAATTCTCCTATTGATCTTAAGCTCCAAATCCATTGGAATCTACCTTGACACCAACATGTCCCTGCCGGAGGCACTTCTGTCATGGAAGTGAAGCCTCCCACAGCTTGGGAGGGCAGGAGTGCTGGGCTGGGGCTGCTGCTGCCACACCCATTTCCCCTCTCTCTTTCATTTCAGGCAGAGGCCCAACTTCCTGCCACCAACTTACATCTCTTTGCTTGAGTGTTTTCTCTGCTTACCAGAGCCTGTTCCACCAGATCATTAACACCCACTGATACCAACTCCATAGCCCTCAACCACTGACTGACAGGAACTGGTGAATGAGTACCTGGTCCCGCACCTTGTGGGTAGCCCATGAAGGAAGCGTGCTTTCTAGAGTGTACTCCAGAGTGCCTGGATGAGCTTTAACTCCATTTACCCATTCTGCTCACTTCTTTGATGAAGTGCCTTCCCTTCCCATCTCACTTACTCATCTTCCTACAGTTGTTTTCAAACTTCACCTTCACAAATAATTGACTTGACTCAAATCTTCCCCTTAGGTTCTTCCTCTAAGCCATGTCAAAGATCCTGCCCCATTTTGGGCTCCTTTATCAAATCAATCATCTTTTAATAGCAGTTACGGGGCCCCAATTGTCTTGTTTTCCATGTTTAATTTATTTGTGTCCTATCTGATTCAAGGAAGAAAGATGAGGCTGTCTCCCACACGCTTGTTTTAAGTTATTCAGAGTACTTAATTACATGACCCTGTTGCTTCAAGGCTACCACGTCATAAAATTTGCCATCATAGCCAAACAAAATCTTATTTTCCCATTTACACCTATTTCCTGTTGCTCTGTCCCTCAATGACAGAGGCAGGGTCCTCCAAAGATAGAAGAAAAGGGGAAGGGGAGAGATAAGCCCTGTCCATAATAGAAAAGGGACAAATAAGCCCCAAAATGTCATGATACAGGAGCATCCTCCATCCCTCTTCAGAGCTCACAAGACCTAAGTGCTTTCCTGAGGCTTGTCACTGTCAAGGAGCATGGACCAAGAAGGCAAAGCTCTCAGGTGTTTCATTTGGGAGGGTTAATTTAGCAAGAGTCAGTAACAATACAGTCAGTTGAAGCCAACGAGTGAGGTGTGGTAATGAAATCGGGAAACCTCACAGACACAAGCAGTGGAAGATCCAGTAGGCCTGGGGAAGGACAGAAGCCAGAATCTCGCCCCTTTGCAGTGGACTCTGCACCTTTTCCTACTACTCCCTGTAGCTTTATGTTTGTCTCTCATACGAGACCGGATTTCTCCAAGTCAGGATTCTCTATTATAGGTAACCAATTCCCTATGACTTAAGGAGAAAGGGTTTTTGAAAAGACATTGGTTGTCCTAAGATTGACATTCAGTGAGCACACTCAGACTTCCCAAGTGCTCACAACTGCTTCCACTGTGACTGGCTACATCTACCTAGGTGAGTCAGTGCCCGCCTGTACACTCATTAGCTATTTTAAAAACAACCCAAAGGAATTCACAAGATAATTGAGAGTACAGAGAAATAGGCGTTAGCCTGAGCTCCCTAGAGTGATCGCCAGAACCTAATGAGAGAATTGACATGGCCCTGGCACTGCCACCAGCTCCCCTCACCCATCCTGCCAGCAAGCTGGAGGCCACTCAGTCAAGATGCTTCCTGACATGCTTCCAAATCAAAGCTTCACACAGGGTCATCTGGAAAGAAGAATCAAGACCACCACTCTACACCCTTGGCGCAAGGGGAGCTGGGAGATGATGTGGGTTAGTTTCCTTGTGGTTTTAAGGACCTACCTTGAGATGGCAAAATTCACAAAATATAGCACTATCAAAATGTGAGAATATTCACCATTTGGACAGCCCTATAGCACAGGTGATCCTTATAACCCACAAGAGAGGAAAAGATGGCTACAAAGCATACAGATTATACCTTCAACTACGGAAGGTAGATTAACCTATCTCCATTCTAATCTAGAAATCTCTGGGGAAAATCACTGGCTCAAGCCATCAGGTGCCCATTTGAGACTATGGGAGTGTAGCCCCAAAAGAATATGGGTGCGCCTGAGGTAACCACATATATAGAGGGCTGAGAGGTGGTAGTGGGAAGAATAAACAAGGGACATGAAATGGGAAAATGAGGCTTCTAAGGACATATAAAATAATAAGTACAAAGGGTCAGATGATAGCAAGCCTTAGAAATCTGTAGAATTAAGGCTACTGAGGGGGATGGGAAGAATAGATGGAAAAATCTAGTGTTTTGAATTATGGTGGAATAACTATGGGTGCCTTGGTGGTGGGGGTGGTGTGGTAACATATGTCTGAAGAGGTGGGAACCTCTACCTCTAAATCATATACAGTGTTGTAAGTCAATGTTGCCTTAATAAAAAATAAATAACTCAGAGGGAGTTCTTAAGGACCATTTGCATTACAAAAAAAAAACTACTTTTTTTATATGACTTTTTTTTAAACTACTACTAACAGAAATAATTTTTTTAATTATGTTAAGAATTATTACAGGGCCCTCCTTTGTGGCGCAAGGAGTTAAGCATAGCATTGTGAAGCTATCCACAGCCACTACAGCATGAGTTAAATCCCCAGGCCAGGGAGGTGACCCACAATACAGAGCAGACCTCTCCTGACCTGCCCACTGCTCCCCTCAGCAGTGTATTTCAGATACTCTTTCTGTTCTGCTCCCCACTCTCACTAGTGAATCGTCTCACACCCCACATCTCTATATCCCAGCTCTTGTATGCATAAATTAATAAATCTTTAAAAAAAAAGAATTATTACAGAGTATGAAGATTTCAATAAAAAGTACTTTATTAAAATCCACATCATTATGTTTTCTACTTTTAAAAATACTGCTAAAAAAAAATAATCCCAACTTTAGTTGGATACTATCTAGGTAAATGTTGAAAGTCATATTCAAATAATTTCAGAAACCCAATTTTAATAACACTGACTTTGGTGAATATTGGGGAGTCGCTCTGATAAGCTCGGTACAGTAGGACAGTGCTTTGAGAATCAAACAGACCTAGTGACATCTGAATTTCTCTATTTCCCATTGTATGACTATGTACAAGCCATTTAACTACACTCAGATATCAGTATCCTCTTATAGAAAATAATGGGGAACCAAATGAGAAAAGTCTTATGAAGCACTTAGTATAATACGTTTAAGCCCAACACTGACACTTCCCCCCTCCCTTCCTTCCATCCTTAGATAAGTAGGGTGGGTGCCAGGTAATCATAAACATACTAGTAGAACAAACCAATTAAGCAGAGAAATCAAGTGAAGCATTTTGGGGACATATTAGTCCATTTAGGTTGAAACAAATGGCCCCATGTCTCACAACAAGAACACCTCAATACCGATTTCTTGCTCACTTGTGTTATCTGTCTGTTGTAGGTAGGTTCTGGTTTCTTCAGCAGGCAGTTTTCATTCCACAACTTATGCTAAAGCCTCAGCTTCCGTCTGGACATGGCAGTCTGGTGAGACAGGAAAATGAGAATGATTGGAGGACATGTGGTAACCCTTAGGACTCCGACACAGAAGAGGCTCATGGCACTTCAGCAATAGCTTGATTGGCCAAACCAGGCCACATAGCCAAGCATCTTATCAAAGGCTACAGTAAATCATTCTCCTGCAGGAGGCCTAAGTCAAACTAAGCCAATCGCTCATACAGAACACTGAGAGTTTCTAGCGGAAATTGTAGCCATTGAAGAGGGTGCAGGTGGCTGGGATTAGCTGCTTCTCCCCACCTCTGCACCCTTTCCACCCCTTTACATTGATGGCACAAGCCAAATTCTGTCACATGCACATTTACTAAGATCCAACTTATTAGCAAATAGACACAAAGTTGTTAGAAAAGCCTATTCTAAAAAACTCATGAGGTCCAAGTTTTCTCTATCCTTTGAAGTATCTCAACCATCACCTCAACTGAAAGGTTATCAAAGACAGACAGGTCAACATTCCAGAAGCAAGATTCTGTTATCCACACAGGAAGCACCAGGTGAACAGACATCTTCCTAATCAAAGGTATCAAGCATCTGTTGCCTGCTCTAAGGATGTTTTTTACAGGCCTTGCTAGACTCTTCTATGTTTTTTTTGTTTGTTTGTTTTTTTAAAGATTTATTTATTTGTACATACAGAACTGGGGTACAGGCCAGAGGCTCAGGGGCAGTGAGAGGCTTCACCAGAGACAGAGTGGGGAGCAGAACAGGCAGATCGAAGAAGACACTGCTGAGGAGAGCAGCGGGCGGGTCAGGAGAGGTCTGACACGCCATGTGGTCTCCTCCAGGGCAGGCAGGAATCGAACTCATGCGGAAGTGGCTTTAGCTTCTCAGTGCAGTGCTTTAACCCTCTGCGCCACCAGGGAGGGCCTGATTTTTCTATGTTTATACAAGTGGTTCTGAAATGTTTTAACTCATCCACACGTCTTAAATATATTCAATTTCAAGAAATAGAGAGCCCACTTACCTTATACAGGCTATTAGCTACTATTTTCACCAATGACACCCCTTTCTAACATTCATTATGCTAATTAGCAAACCATAGGTTTTGATCAAGATAGATTTAGTGTAAGTAGTAACTGCCTGAACTTCCAGCTCTTCTAGAAAATGCTGGCAGGCCCTGGACTATGTGTTCTTGCAAGAGTAGCTGCCTTCTTGGAGTCAACACTTAAACCAAATAGCACTGGCTGGAGATTTTCTGTCTATGCTGAACTTTTTTTTTTTTAATTTTTTACAAAAGTTTATTTTTACATCATTTTGTACATTTTTTTTTCCATCTCAATTGTAATCCCCGTGGGTTTCCCATCACCAAGTCACCCGTTCCATGCTGAACTTTTAAGTAAATTATAGGTATCTTTCCAAGAACATGTCCTCACTTCTCTTAAACCCTTCATAAAATTTTTACTTCTAATAGATGCTTAGTAACTGTTAATGACTGTAAGCTAAGCAAACCAAGAATGGAAGGGTTTTAAGCAGAATGAAATGAAGGGCAGGAGGGAGAGGAGGAAGGGAGGGAGGCTGAAAGAAAGCTGCTAGCCTCCACGTGCTCCTTGTCTTTGAGGGTGCAGACAATCAGCCCCGGACTACACCTCAGTTTCCAGCACACCATTTTGAAAGGCTTTGGGGGCTGGTGTTTTGTTTTGTTTTGTTTTGTTTTGAAAACAGATCCAAAAACAAGGAGATGATATGGTCTGTGAAAAGACGAAGTCACTCTACATAAATAAAACTGAGGAATTTCTGGAGTGAAAAATAATTGCCAGAGGCTAATTAAGCCTAAAATGAGTGAGATTAGCTCACAGAAGCAAGGCTCCTCTGGTCATTCAGCTTCTCACTTCAGGGGAGCTCCTCTTCCCCATCCTCCTAGTCATCTCCAAGTCCTCTCCTCTACAAGACTAGTCCTAGTGCTCACAGAGGTGAAGCTGCTCAGGGCTGAGCTTCAGTTCGAGGGGATAGGTGGGGTCTCTATTGCCCAAAAACTAAAATATCGTGATATCGTGAACTCTGGAATCAAAATGTTCAAGTTAAATGGAGGCTCCATGACTCATCATTCTTGGACCTTAAGTCATTTGTGTAATATCTCTGTGCCTAGCTCCTCACCGAATTTCCAGCGGTTACTGTGAGGATTAGAAGTGGGAATATGCATAATTCTCTGATAACACTGTCTGGGACATTGACAACACTATAATGGAGTTAGCTATTTTATTATTGTAGAAATAAAAACTGTCAAACTTTCCAGTGTATACAGTTTTTTACCTTATTACTTCAACAGGTTTGGGGGAATATTAAAATTAAGTATTTTGAGTAAAATTATGAATGACATAGACATAGACCAGAATTCTATTAATCCTCATAGAAGAGTTTTATATTTCTAACCTAAGGCACAACTAACTTTATTCCTTTTGTAGCTAGACTGATTTGACTGGTAGCACAAGGTCATGCCACTGACTAATTTAGCATATATCTTACTAAAAGACAGAATTTTGTCAAGACCATTATAAGAACAAGAACTCAGGGCAAATTAGGAGATCTCATTTGACTTAACAGTGAAGCGGAGCCTCGTTGAGGTGAAATCTGGGTGTGATTTGAAGGCACAGAGAACATTTGTCTTGAAAATATCTGTTGGAAGCTTCCTAGGGGCAGGCACTAGCCAGTGCAAGGTCCAGCCAGGAATTTTCGAGAAAGAGCTAGATCAGAGGGCTCGGAGACATTGCAGGAGATGAGGGCAGAGAGGCAAACCAGCCACTGTGAAGGCTGCATGAGACAGGGACTCAAAACAGAGTAAAGGAGTAAAGGAGTGACAGTTAACTTTTTAAAGATCACTCGGGTTCTGTGTTAAAAATAAGCCTGTCAGGAAAGAAAAAGAAAAATACCAGATGGTTTCACTCATAACAGGAGCGTAAAGGACCAGGGGGGTAAAAATAATGAACAGCTATATACCGGGGTGGAGTGGCGAATGGGATAAAAAAAAATGGGGGGGGGGGCGGTGAGTGCACTGGACTATAGTGATACCACACGGGTGATGGGAAACCCACGGGGATTACAACTGAGATGGAAAATGGCACAAAATGATGTAAAAATAAACTATTATAATTAAAAAGAAGAAGCCTGGCGGTGAGCAAGGGCGAACGCAGGAGTGAGTCTGGAGACTATTCCGTGATCCCGAGAGATAAGCATCCGGCACCACAGCGCATTCTCCAAGCCCAGCTTTCTCCTGATGAAACCACTGCTGCTGGGGGCTTCAAAGCTCACCTCTTCACAGCTTAGAGGGCAAAGATCTCCCTTTAATCTCCTTCAGTCCCTTAAAAATAACGAAGGGAGCCCGGGGAAGGGCAGGCCCTACTCCACAGCGCACACCGCTCACAGCCCACCCCGCGCACAAGCCTGGCACACAGGGACCCACATCCACGCACTTTGAAAACCAAGCGAGGAGCGCACAGACCTGCCGCAGGGATCCAGTGGGCCTGGAGAGCTCCGGAAGCCACTACACTGTTAGGAAAACCTACACTAGAACCTGCTGCCACCCCCAGGCATCCAAAAAGGACTTCCGCTTTTACGGCTAAAGACAAAAAGCAAAGCAGTGTGTTTTGCGGCAGCTCAGTCCGGCGTGTTTTGCGGCCTCCCGGTGCACAGGCTCCTTCTCAGGATCTGCCTAGGGAGGGTGTGTGTATCCTAGCATTCCTAATCGGAGTATTTCTGAATAATAAGTGTGATTTGTTTTTGTTGTGTCGTTTAGTATGCCTTGGTGGATTATATTTTGGGCCTGGAGATACTGAAAAAAATTCTGTATAATTTCAGGGGAATTGCTTCTTTGCTTTGTGATATTTATGGTTTCAGGAGGCGGCTCTTCTTCCATATACCAGGGAAGCCGTGTACTTAATTGGCGTTTGTGCACTGGGTTCTAATGCACCAGTCACGTCCTCCAGCTTTTTCTACACTATGGCCAGCGGTCACACGGCAGAGTGACCAGCTGGATTCACAGGGGTGGCCAATGTCTGTGGGAGCATCTGACTAGAGAGAGAGAATTGACTACCGGAACTGGGACTCATTGTTAGCATCTTCTCATTAAGTTTTTCTTTCCCAGACAAAGAGAAATACGTGGTTTGAATCTTAAGCAATAGAATTTGAGTGACCAGCAATGTTAAGATACCAAGGAAAGTAAAAGACCAATTAAAATATTTTTATCAACATTTTCTTTTCCAAAAGAGTAAGTGCTGGGCCTCCCCAGTGGTACCAGGGAAGGACCATAAAGCTGTTGGCAGTCACTGCAGCATGAATTTCATCCCTGGCCAGGGAACTGACCCACACAGCCTGGCAGACCTCTCATGTCTCCCCCGCGGCTCCCCTCAGCAGTGTATTTCAGTAGATCTGCCTGTTCTGCTCCCCTCTCTGTCTTTGGTGAATCCTCTCACCCACCACACCCCCACCCCCATCACACACCTCTGGCCTGTACCCCAGGTGGTTATTTCTGCATAAATAAATAAATCTTTAAAAAAATATAAGTGCAAAATCAAGGAAGGCATAGCACAAACCACATAGTAAAACACAGCAAAATGGAGCCTCCCTGGTGGTGTAAGGGTTAAGTCTCAGCGTTAACCAGCAATCACCTCTGTGGCCTGAATTTAATCCCTTGCCCAGCAGCTGACCCACATGACACAGCAGGCCTCTCCTGTCTTTCCTGCTGTTCCCCTAAGCAGTGTGTTCCATAGATCTGCCCATTCAGCTCCCTACTCTGTCTCTGGTGGATCCTCCCAACCCCTGCCCCTGCATCTCTGGCCTATACCCCAGCTCTTGCATGCATGCATGAATAAAATAAACCTTAAAATTAAATGAGGGCCCTCCCTGGTGGCGCAACGGGTTAAAGCATAGCACAGGGAGGCTTTGCAACGGGTTAAAGCATAGCACAGGGAGGCTTTGGCCACTTCCGCGTGAGTTCGATCCCTGCCTGCCCCAGAGGAGATCCACATGGCGTGACAGAC